GAGTTAGCTGTGGTGACTTGGCCGTGGTGAGTTGGCCGTGGTGAGTTAGCCGTGGCGAATTGTCATAGATCCCTCAGGAAGAGCTCCTGCCAGGTAACCAAGTAGCCAATACAAGCAAAGGATAATTATCACAGAAACAAAATATTGTAAGGAAAGAGGATCACAGTGGATGTTAATCACATCACAGTAATCTAGATATCAACAGTTACAATTTTGGCTTTTGTGATGAGCAGCAGCAAAAGTACAGTCTAGGATCCCTAGAAAACTGTGTACTAACAAACTGTGTAACTAAACAAATATTTCAGGATAATGCTAAAAACTAGAGCGTAAAGTTATACCCAAAATTAGATTCCAGGAATATGAAGGTGACTGCATGTGTTGAAACATCATTCCCAGATTTATTTCCTTTCCTATTTACTGTATGATTTGTCGGTGGTGATTTATTTTCCCAATAGATACATAAGCTACGTTATGAAAACTTTAAACTGTCTAATAAGACTTAAAGGTTTAAGATTTGCTGTCTTCAAAATAAAATAAACCAGAATCCCAAAACAAATACTCTTAAATTTTCCAATGTGATGTTTCAACATTTTCCTTTGTGATTTGCACTTTTTGTGAAAAAGGAGTAGTTAATGGATATTTATTGGAGAGAAAAATACATGAACAATTTATATTTGATAAATCAATGCTTTATTTTTTATTTTTTTTACTTTAGTGGCAATCTCACACAGGGTAGGTCTATGGCATACAAAGAACTTCAGAATTGTTTTGAGCTCTCCGATAGAAGATTTGAGAAAAAAACACGATACCATAGCCATGGCATTTTAAAAAAAAATCACCTACATATAGGGCAGGGGAATGCTAATTAAGCAATTAAGATCTATTGTACATAAGGAAGACAAAATCTACAACATTCTCGCTCCCTATTTGCCATGTGGGGCAGGCAGCAAGGTTGGAAACAGTACCCAAGAATACGTAAGAGGTGCTGTGTGGATCAAGCTGTACGCATGGGGTGGTGCAAGTGAAGAAGATTGCATGGTGAAGTCAGAGTAGTGTGTACAAAGTGCTGTACCGGTCAGGCCCATTTGAAGCATCTTGATTCCAAACTTGTTGTCACCATTTTTCCCAGTAAAAGGTCACGACAATGAGAGTTTTGGTAGTATATAGATACTTCGGTAAAATATGGTATCCAATATACCACTTTGTTTATTTAATGTGGGATTTATATCCTCACTCAAAACTGGGGCCTTAGCCCAAGAGCTCAAGAGGTTGTACCAATCGCTCCCGCATCCATTTTTCCCCCTGCAATACTCACCCTTTGCGATAGGTTGAGATGAGATAGGATGAAAGTGACTGGGCTTAGTCACTAAATGATCTTTCTGGGCTTAGAATAGATCCTTGGATCTCCCTGATCTCGTCTGAAACTGTAATCACTATCCCAGAGATGGGGGGGGGGGGGGGTTTTTTTTTTTTTTTGGGGGGGGGGAAACATCTTTAACTTGAAAGCGAGCTATTATTTTCTACGAAAGCCTAGCGTGCGAAAGTTAACTGAAAAGAACAGGTCATTGTTTTCTAAAGAGGAATGGAAGACATTTTCTTCCCTGGTTTAATAGCAAAGTTTTAAACGGCAGATGAATGTGCGTGCATTCTGTTTTATAGATCTTACGGTAACACTTCCAACATTTTGGTAGGACGGGCAAGCTAATCTTATGCACTGGGAGCTGTTTGGAGCGTAGATGTTGGCCTCCACCCAACAGAACATTTAGCACTGCCTGTTCGTTTGTCTGTTTGTTTGTATTGGAAGCTGGGCAGGCTGCCTTCCGCTTTCATTGCAAATGAAATAAAGCCACCCTGCTAATACAATTATTAGAAATAAATTAGTGTTACTCATCACAGTTGTTTAATGTTGCGTTAAACATTATGCATATTCTTATTTGCACATTATAGGAGTTTGAAAACATAAGGAGACAGAAAACTATTTAGGCCCTAGAGTGCGATTTTTTGTTTTGCTTTTTGGTCTCTTCTTTTCATATCAAATGCTTAGTACTCCTTTCGTTTTAAATTAAATTAAAATTCTTTATAGATGCCACAGTTGGCGAAGGATTTGCAGGGCAACCATATTTACGTCTGCTCAGAAATAAGAGGATTTCACTTAAGGGGAAGTATAGAATGTTCCTCCAAGGGTTGAATACATTGTAACAAGACCCAAATAATATGTGTGCTACTTTCCACTACTTAAGGGAATTGTGCTGACCAGTATTTAAATAGACCCCCTATACATTTAGGCTTTAAATTTGCTCCTTTGGACTGCTATAATTGCTATAATTTATTCATATAAGTCATCATGCATACACAAAATTGTTCTATGAAACTACAGTGTGTAATTTGGGCGTTCTGTTAAATGCTGAAATTAACAAATGTATTATGAGATTCTAAAGAGTAATATAATTTA